AGGTTTCTGAACATTTAGGCATACCTAAAAAAATTGATGTGTGTGTGATTTATGTCTGCATTTTTGTCCACGTTTTTGGGCGCACGGATAAACCGATTTAAATGGTTCAAAAAACATTCGATCCTATTGGTATTGAGATGTGCTGATTAGTTTTTGGCAAAGGCAGGTCCAGCCGTTACAGAGATACGGAGCAAAAGTGCAGAAAATAGAAATCGAGTTTTTGAGAGAACTGTGTATCCGTTTTGAATGATACAAAAAAACATTCAATTTGTAATGATGGGGAGAAATGGTGATTAGTTTTTGGCAAAGGCAGGTCCAGCCGTTTTGGAGATACCGAGCTAAATGTGCGAAAAATGGCAGTTTTTGAGAGAACTAAGCATCCGATAAAAATGATTCAAAAACTTTCTGCTTGTGTTGACAAAACAATTGCTTTTGATTTTTGTTTTGTTATAAAAAAATAATTCAGATTTTAATTTTAATTCTGGCTAAAGTTCTAACTCCCTTATATACTTAAATAAGTAATTCTAACTTTGCAATTCAGTTTAATATAATCTTATTAATATTAGTCAACGTTACAGTATAGTTACAGTATTCATAATAGTCTATTTGAAAACATTTAATATTTTTTGAACATTCTGTTACGGTACGGGAAGTTCCAGCAATTTGCCTTAAGGCACGATGCCATACACCACTATTTTGGATTTTTAAATTTAAATCTACATAGGGAGTACGAAAACGAAAGTACCAAACATGTACCCACATGTACCAACGTGCATTTAAATTAGGTTGCCGACCCCTGATTTTTTTCTCTTTGTTTTTTTTATAATTTACTTGTGGCAAGCCGATTTTGTTACATGTGCTTGTTAACCTTAAAATAAAGCTAAATAACTTCATTGTTTCTATAAACTTAACAAAAACATTATTACTGTTGTTTTCATTTTAGATTAAATAAAATAAACAACAAAATGGATGTTTTCGAAGTGCGGCAAACTTTAACAAAAGTAAACAAATAGCCTAATTTAATTGACTTCACATTTTGTTATATTTATTGGTTTTATTTTAAATTTTCAGGGACGGTCTTTTATTCGCTAAACAAGATATTAAAAGCAGAAGAAAAGATTTTTGAGGAAGAACCGATTGTATCTTGTCAGTTTTCATGGAATAAGGTTTATGATTATAAAGCCTGTGATTTTTGTATGAGGTCATTAAGATTTAATTTCAATTATCTATAGATAAAGCACATCTTAAATCTATCTTCAAAATATCATTAGGAATTGTAGGTCCATTTAGAGTCATTTATATCCTACTAAGATATTTTTTCTCTCATACCCGACACTTTTCCGTCTGTCTGATATGTATTAAATTTATATTAAAATTCAAATAAAAAGCCTTTAAATAATTTCTGAATCTTCATGAGTGTGAGAAATTGCTGTCAATATTTTTGATGTAGTAATATTTGAAGAACTTGATACTAAAATTTTGAAAATTAATAAGGAAAACTCTTAAAGCAAAACATAACTGAAATATTTGAATTTGATACATATATCAATTAAAACAAATGGTATTTTCTATAAACCTTACCTTTTATTTAATACTCTTAATGTTATGATGAAATACTATAATGCTTTTTTATTTATTTTTTCCAATAATCAATAATAAAAAATTCAATTTTACAGTCCATTGGAAACTGCCGAAGAGAATGCCAAACGCCTTTCTGCAGACAACTCATTGGAATTGCCATTTAAATCATCTTGTTCTGTCGACCCTCTGCAGCATGTTAAATGTTTTCAGTGTGGAGAATTATTTTGCAGCCAAATTTGTTTAGACAAAGCTAATGAACTTTATCATTCTTATATATGCATTCCGATTGATAGTGATCATCCTCTTAAAACTTTGGAGGATGCATGGAAGTTAGTAGCACACAGAAAAATAAATGTTTTACTCTAAATAATATTTAGTTAATTGAAACATTATTATTATTCCTTTGTAGAAATATGCACTATCCTCCAGAAACATGTTCAATTAATTTGCTGGTCCGGATATTGGCTATTATTAAAAGCTCAAAGAGTAGAGAAACATTAGTTCAAGATTTACAGAATTTTGCAAGTTCTCTAGAAAACAAAAATGATCGTATTGCACATAAAATGTTAGGTGATAAATTTGCTCAACAATTAGAAAGCTTATATTTGTTACTACTTGATGCTGTCGGCCACGATAAATCAGATTTAGAACAGGTTTGAGATTTGGCTTTTATAATTAATATAGGCAATATTGAAATACAATACATTTTTCAAAAATTATGCAATGTTCAGAAAAAATTTATATTTTTTTTTTCTAAAGAAAAGTTTCTTAATTATTTTCTTAAAAATACAATAACTGTATACAAAATTGTTATTTATATCTATTACAGTTTTTTTTATTATATATATTAATTGTTTTCTTAGTTTTTGACTCCTGAAGGATTTCGATCATTGTTTGCAATTATTGCAACAAATGCACAAGGAATTGGAACAAGTTCTTTTGCAAATTGGGTAAAAGCAGTTGAGCATTTAGATCTAGATGATGATAAAAAAGCACATTTGGATAAAATCATTGATGATGTTTATGAAAAGATGGATAAATGTTAGTATAATATTATATTATACATTATATATTATAGTATATCTAGTTTGAGCAAAAAATTATTATATGATATTAATTATCTACTATTGCACTATTTTATTATATTTTTTTCTTAATTATAGATGTAGGTACATTTTTAAATTGCGAAGGATCAGGATTATACAAATTACAAAGTACTATAAATCATAGCTGCGTACCAAATGCACAAATTACATTTCCATTTGGCAATCATAAATTAGTTTTAGAATCAATCAGAGATATCAAAAAGGGTGAAGAAATATGTATCAGTTATGTAGATGAATGTGTTTTAAATAGTTCTAGATACACAAGACAAAGGGTAACTAGATCCAATAATATAAAGCTGAATAAAATTAAAATAACTGATGATGATTTTTTTTTTCAGATTCTATCAGAGAATTATATTTTTATATGCACTTGTGAAAAGTGTGAACTACAAGCAGGTGATCCTGATGTAACATCTGAGGAAGAAAGTGATGAAGATGTTTCTATGTAATTTTCATTATTATAAAGATTGATTGGTTGTTATATTAAAATTAAATTATAATGAATATAACTTATTACTTTTAATTATATTTTTGCCTAAACCATTCAAATATATAAGATAGAGCCAATTTGTATATAAATGAATGCAGATTTTTATCCTGATAATTTGTAAAAGTGAAATTTAAATGAATTAATTATTATTTGTACTACAAATGGATGCATGTTTTGATATTAAGAAAAATGTTATGATTTTATTGAAATTTTGAGGTTCCTTTGGAAGAGTAAAAGTTCCCTCAAAAACTAGGTGTAAGTGGAAAGGTGTATGAACTTTCCAATACATATGAATAATTAACATAATGAATAAAAATTGAGATTTAAGGATTTAGCTATTTAAATAAAATTTTCAACTGTTATTTTATTTATTTAACCTTTATATTGAAAAAAAAACTAAAAGCGCGGTTCATTATTTCAAATTTTAATGAATTTTTGTAATTTTGTAAATAAGAAAGATGAAAGATATTTAAAGATAACGATTTATAAACAAATTATCTATGATCGTACATTTTCGTTTTTCGCGCGAAATCGACGTGTGCTTTCGTGTTAAGAAAATTGACCTTGTCCAATGACCGCAGATTATTCTTTGGAATCTGGTAACACTGCATTCCAGAAATTTGTTTGTATGAAAGATTCGACAGGTGTTTGACATATGAAACTTATTTATGAAAGAAACAATAAATATTTACATTTAACGAAGATCTTTATTGCTGTCAAACATTTCCAACAACATACTCTAATTATTAAGTCATTGTTTAAATGGAATCGTTATTCAAATCGGTATTGTTTAACAATAACTATGGTGAACATTATACATGAATGTTGATTATTATTGTAATGCCTTGCCATGGCAGAATTCTTACCTATATGTGATGTATTGTTTAATGTAATTTCTCTTGCCGGTTATTTTTGTGATGTAGTGTTTGATGTTGTGATGGGATATGCTTTATTAGATAGAGGCTATTTAAGATGTTTCTGTGCAGTTGTTTTATTAGTCGGAGGCTCATTGATATTATCACAGGTATATTATCCAAGAGTTATTAATATATTGTCCAAAATGTTTTATGATTATTGTATAACAACATTATAAGAATAACTTTTATACAATTGTGCAAATGAATATTTTAAATATTTCTGTCCCGCAATATATCTGGATGATAATTTTCATAAACTATTAGGTTCAGGAACTGCATATTGCACAAAATATACATTGTGAACCATATAATAAAATTATAATATATTATAAGTAAATTTTACATCTTGTTCCAAATCTTTTTAGATCATTTCATTAAGATGGTATCTTAAACCGAAAATATCCAATAAACTTCCAAACAATGTGCAAGAGCAAAAGAAACATCATAATATAGTACTTACGGCTGTTATAGCGGTGCACTGCTTGCAATTAGGAGTATTATGGAGATACGCTAAACTGTTTATTCCTGTTGACTTGAAAAATGTTAAGCATGAAGTACGAGATTTGTGTAAGTATATATTTTACATAAAAGAACTTTATTAAAAAGTGCATAAAACACAATGATTCAAATGCCTCAATTCTCGAATATGTATGTTCTATTTTATTTTTCAGGTATGCTTAGGATTCAGCATGGATTTTGCCAAGCAGCTCCTATGCTATTGTTGCAACTATATCTGATGTCTGACCGTTTCATGAATGATTCTGATTCAGACACTATTATATCAGAAGCTGATACTGCATTCTTTGATATGAATACAGTTGCAGCTTCTTTATCATTATTCAGTGTTTGTTGGTCTTTAGCGAGTTTTAGCAAGAATGTGCGATTGCAAAATGTCCACAGATTAGTTTGACATGGCTTGGAGTCATTTTTCAGGTATACAGAGTTGTTATTTAATATTTAGGTGTTTATTTGAAAGCATCACATACTTGTTTGTGTTCATTGTGTGCTTATTGATGAAGGTACTCTGATAAAAAATGTAAGAACTATTTTTATACTTTATATGTTGCAAAAACCATCTTAATTTTCAATCAGAGTACTTTTATATATGTTTTATTTAAATTCCATCTATGTTATGATGTTTGTCAGTGTGTTGTTAATTTTATTTGTGTCTCATTCAGTTTTTGTGGCGTCTGGGTACTGTTTGCTCACGTGTTACAGCACTCACAGTTTATGCAACTTTGTATGCACATTGGGTTTTTCTCGTCATAGGTATTTGTTAAACATAATTCATTAATATTGTATATGTTATAGAAACAAATGTATTGTTTAAGTAAAATGATTGATGTAGTTTCTGCACTTTTTTTGGTAGGAACTTATGCAACAAGCTTATGTACTTTGCATGATCATTTTTATTAAAGATTTGCTTAGAAATTGTTATCAATATTTTATTTAATTTGATACCAAATAATTAATGATATGTGCTTAAAAAGTATATGCTCATTGTTCTTTTATTTAGGATTACATTGGATATCCATGTTTTTGTGGCTAATATCACCGAGAAACGTTTTTCATGGAGAAAAATTCTCAAGGAGCAAAAAATGCATGATTGCTGCATTGATTTCATTTATTTACGTTTTTGCCTATGTAAACCTTCAGGAAGTGAACCACAAAAGAAAGATGGTAATTTTTTTTTTTTATTAAATGATAAAACTATTTGTACTTGAAAAACTACAATAATTTTGTTACAGGTCACTTTTTATGTAGTCATGTTTTTGGAGAACACACTACTTGTAAATTTATGGCTAGTAGGCATATGGTCAATTCGCCCAGCAAGATGGTATTTGGTACCACTTTTTATTATTGGCTGTTTTGCAATAGGACTACTATTTATGATGTTATATTACAGGTACCAAAATGGGTTTTATATAATCTTGTAGAAACTAAAAGTTGTCTGATATGTATAATTGAATTATTTTTCCTTACTTCCTACTAGGTTTTTCCATGTTCGTAGACTTGGCTATGAAGATGGTGGTAGACCACCTTCAGTTAATAGAAATTTATGTAGGAATCCAAGCATATGCAAAAATCTATGTAAGTGCAAAGTAACAAATAATTCTACTAAAGTTCAATGTGAACAAGACCGAATAAGCGAATTGCAATCAACACAATTACATAATGTGCCAGGTGTATTTAATTGCCGTTTCACAAATCCAGTAGGAAAGTGAGTACATTTGATAAACTTTAATTTCTTAATTCAGAATACACAACTAGAATATTATTTTATACACTACTAAAATTTCATAATATAATACACAAATTCAAATAAAATTTTTAAAATTTAATTGGTCACAAACAGCAATGTTTTAAATTGAAATGATTTTTTTTAAATGTCTTATAAAATCTGATTAAAGTGACTTTTTTATATCATAATACCAAAGCAGTACCAAACGAAAGAAGAAGAAACCTACGTCTTTCATTCCACCACCAGCTGCAATTGACACAGCTTTGCCACCAGTATCTGGCCCAGAAAGTATACCGTTTTGGAGAAAACCATTGCCAAATTTGCACATTCATCAGGGAGGTTCTAGTGAAAATGAAGGCAGTTCTGTAAGCAGTCGTATTAATATTTATCAAAAACTGCAAGAAAAGAAACAAAAGCAACTTGCTGAACTGAAAATAATAGAAGAAGAGATTAGGCAAGGAAAATTGGGTGGACCAACTAATAAATCTCAGGATAATTTTTCAACCCTACCCAGACAGCCAATTCCAGTCTCTAAGAAACATAATGACATTCAACCTGTGGTGTGGGGTTCAACAACTCCTGAATTGGAAAAGAATTTTGAGAATCTTAATAATATAACAAATAATGGTTGCTTGAATTATCAGGGACATGCTATACCTAATTATAATATGTTGGGTTCTGATATTTTGTACAACAGTGATATGTACATACATGATTTGAATGAATTTCAAAGACCTTGTCAAAACAATGGAGATGCATCACCAGTATCACAAATTTCTGCTACAGAAAGCAACTCATTGACCCAGAAGACATTGTCACATATACATATGGCACAAGAGTTTTCATATCCAGAAAATATTCAAGTTTATAGTACAAAAGAGCCAAACTCTTGTTTATCAAATTATAATGATAACTTATTCTTAAAAGATACTACAAATAATGATAAGAAAAGCCATACTGCGATTGGAATTCAAAGCCATAGTCCTAAGCTGCCTGAGCTTTCAAGAGGTTGTGATAGGCGCAGTGCTAATTTCAGTACAAATCAAATAAATGAGAAAGTAAAAAATCACATTTCTCAAAATCCATATGTTGTTACAAATTCATTTCACTACAATGTTATACCTCCACCTAAAACAAAATTAGAGAGACAGAAGTTAGATCAAAGCAAAGCTCAAAGATCTCGAACACCAGAATTATTGTTATCTCCTCATTATTTGAACAATGCTGGTTCTTATATAAATCAGAGAGAGCCAAATTATAGGTATGTTAAGTAACAAATCGAAATATTCCAAAATATGATCCATTCTTTTTTATTGTTACAGTATTTTAAATGCTTTGAACGATAATGGCCATTCATCCCAACACATGAGAAAGCAAGATTATGGCAAACCACATCAAAATCATTTGGAGCAAGATGATGATTACAATGGAGAAGCGGCACATAGTGATATTGACAGCCAGGTTTTTAATATTCAATATATTAATATTTAGCACAATTAATAATACAACAAAATATCTGTATCAACTATAGTTTGACTACAAAACAATAATTTCCATTGAATATATTTTGCAATAGGCTTTAAAATATGTACAGTCCAAAAATTACCATTAATTGCTTTATATATTTTAATAACTAAATTGAATCATGAATTTAAAATAGGTATCTATTCCTCGTTCATATACATTACCCAGAGAATTCAAATACTATAAGAGAAACCGGTGCAGAAAAAGTAAAAACGAGCATGTTGCAAGCACAAATAGTAGTGATGGTTAGTATAAATGGTTTGCTCTTATTATAACTTACATTTTAAAGCGGATCTTAATTTAGAATGTAATATTTTATTATCTATAAGTTATAAGTCTATAAGTTGTGATACTAATGTATAAAAATTTAAAATATATTATAATATTACTTCTATAGTAATTGTCCTTAATAAATATAAATATTAATTCCTATTTTATTCATTTTTAGGAGATGTTGACAGTGGTGATGATGATGAATATTTGAACAGGTCTTCTATTCTGAATCAAAATAAATTATCAAATAGACTTAGCGGTCAGCATACACCGATCTTAGAACATATGCATGCTAATATTGGAAATTGTAATCATCGAGATAAATATAACACTTGTGAAGAATCAGCTGAAGAGCACTTGAATTATAGCACATCAATTAGACCAAGTAGTATAGGAAGAAAAAAATAGAGAAATGTATTCTACCACAAGTTTTTCGAATGGTAGTGAATATGGGGCAATAAATTTTTCAAATGGAGAATTATCAATAAATCCAAGACATTCTAGAGTAAGACATTATTGTAATGGACCAAGACCCGAAACTAAGTTATAGAAAGATTTTGAACTATATATAAGTTAATAAATATGGTATTTAATTATTTTGTATTATATTTTAAAACCTTCATGAATTGTAAATAACACAGAGACTTTCTTAGATGAGAAAATGTATTTATTAGGAAAATGAAGACTGCCATATATGTATTTATTTAAAAATCTTTATTATATAATTGTAGCTATATTATTATGAGATAGAAATAAATTATTTATATACAACAGAAAACGAAATTGATTTTAATTGGATTTTTAACTTTCCATAAGGTAAGTTATAGTAAAGAGCCAAAAATCAAAAATGAAAATTTTTGCATACCTTCACGTTTCAGAGGGTCCGATTTGGCATACTTCAGAAAAAATGATGTGTATGTGTGAAAACATTATTTCGTCTACGATTTCGGGCGTATGGATCAACCGATTTGACTGGTTCAAAAAACATTCGATTAGTAATGTTGGGGAGAAGTTTTAGGGAGAATTATTATATTTTATATTTATATCAATTAATATATTTCATTAAGGTACGGGAAGTTCCAGCAATTTGCCAAGACACGATGCCATACACCACTAGTTATTATATGTATGTCTAAAATTAGAGTAATCCATGAATCATGAATAGCTTCATTTTTCATAAATAACTAAAGGTAAACATAGTCTTTGAATACAGTTAACAATTATAACTAATTATAATTTGTTTACCTATTTTGTTAAAATCCTTCTCCCGTGTAAATTAAATATTGTCTGCTGTCTGTAACGTTAATTAAATTTAAAAAATATAAAATATTAATTAATATATGACCAGCTCTCTCACTAAAATGCGATAAGAATGTATTTTCTATTACGTTGGTAGTACGTGCTGATAATTTTTGCGCTTTGTTTTCAGAAGCATTTTCCTTGTGTTGGTTCAAATGGTTCCGTCATTTTGTGAATGATGTTATTTTGAGTGTATTTTTACACATAATTTAATAAACAAATGATTTTAAAATTTGTTTAATTGCGTGAAACAATATATAATTATTGCTATATAGTGTTGTTAAGTGTGAAGATTTAAAATATAAGCATATATACAAAGGCACAATGAGTACTAACCAACATTTTAGTTTGAGATGGAACGATTACTTACAGCACATCACGAAAGCCTTCGATAGCCTTCGTTCCGATGATAATTTTGTTGATGTTACTTTAAGTTGTGAAGGCAAACGGATTCATGCGCATAAAATGCTATTATCTGCTTGTAGTACATATTTTCGTGATATATTGAAGGAAAACCCTTGCCAGCATCCAATAATAATATTGAAAAATGTTAAGTACGACGATTTGCAGGCACTAATAGATTTTATGTACCAAGGAGAAGTCAGTGTGGTTCAAGAACAATTGACATCATTTTTAACTACTGCTGAACTTTTGGCTGTTCAAGGATTGACGAATGGTTCAGTTGATGACCACCAAATACGAAGTCATGGAGTAACAGTAAGCATTTAATTGTTATTCACATTTACAGAATGTACTTGTTTTCTGACCTCCGAAATATAATATTGCAATGTAATCTAATAGCTATTTGAGTCGAGCAGTACTACTAAAACACAACCCCTACAAATCTAGTAACATTAGATTTATTTAATGCCTGCCCATAATAATTTCATAATCGAACTTTATTTATAATTACAAAACTTATTTATAGTTACAAAAGAAACCTGCAAAACCTCAACAGTTTGTTGTGACTCAGACATTAAGAGCAACAAGTCCAAGTAATAGGATCAAGAAAAGAAAGCTATCAAAAATACATATTGACAAAGAAAAAAGTTTAAGAAAAGAAACTTCTGAAGCCTCAGACGTTTCCTATGTGCCGATCGTAATGCCTAGTGCAAAGTAAGTGTTCTGATTATATTTATTAATAGTATTTGTATTTAAATTTACTTTTTTAAATAATATATTGTTTCACATATATTATATTCATGTAACTTTTCTAATATCAGGTAGAGATTCCAGAATATTTTGAACAATCTGCAACTAATAATATATCAGTGGGATTTGATGATAGCGATATTGGAGAAAATTGTGAATATATTGAAGAAACCCATGACAATGATGTAAAAAACACAAGTGATGAAAATGTCTGTACAGTATACAGTCCGGACCAAACAGATGCAGGTATGAACCATTTTTAATATGTCATTTGTTTGAAATTGCCAAAATTTTCTTTTTTATAAAGTGGTTGTTATTGTATAATATAGTATTAAAATTGCTTCATTATATAACACATTCATTTATTTTTATCACTGCCAAATGTTGTAAATTCCATTGTGCCTCATTTCAATCAATTTTTAAATTGCAGGAACACAAGAAGAAATAGAAAACCCCAGTACATCAGAAGGCATTCAACAGGATTCGAGTTTACAAGGTAGGCAGAAAATAATACTAATATTCTGTTCGAATTATTCATATATTCACAATCAACTTGCGGCATTCCCCTTTTACTTTGTTCACTTGTATAGAAATTTAATCAAATACGATACGTCTTTAAAATTATACAATAATGTGTAAACAAACAGCAACCACATTACGCCGAATATACTTTCTTATCCATTCTACTTTGAGCATTTAGTATAAAATGAAAAATATTAATATAACTTTATCTCATGCTGTTAACCTGCAATTATATAATTTTTTTTGTGGATTAAATTTCGAGCTCAATATGTTTCCAAGTGCAACGCTCTTAAATAGAAAAGAACTCTTAATGTGTAAATAAGGAAATAAATAAAAATATTAAAATATGGTGACAAATATAAAGTGAGTGTATTATGTGAAGTGTTTTATTTCAAAGGGGTAAGTATAAATTAATTTCTTTTAGAGTGATAAATTTTGCAACAGTAATGAAATAAATTTGAAGTAAGAGGAATAGGATATAAATCACATATAATTAGTTCGAAAGTTCAGACCATTTAACAAAAATTCACTTCCATAGTATAAATTAAAGGTTATTATTTGCTTATGCAGTATGTTTGTTGAACAATTTTTATTATAATTGTTTGAATTTAAATTTGTATAATAATATAAAATATAATATCAATTTTGATAAAATCCATTACTAATTTGTTTGAGTGGAGAATATGTTTAAACTGCCTGATTAATTTTATTGCTACTTTAATACTTCAAGATTAGGCAGTTTGATTGTGCAATGTGATGGTGAAGGAATTTATCTATATTTATGTGAAATTTGTGTTACCAGAAGACTAAATAAAACATTTGAACCGAATGCATAATTGTTCTAGATCTGAATATCACAAAAACGCTGACATATTCAATTTCTCAAAAGGAAGCTCAAAAATATACCTGTGAGATATGCCATAAATCTTTCAGACATCCAAACAGTTTGAACCAACATAAACCGTCCCATTCTTCTGAAACAGTTTGCCAGATTTGTAACACTAGACTATCTAGGAAATACGATCTAAAAATTCATCTGAAGAAGGCACATAAAATTGTAGTTATTCAAGAAAATATCAATGATAGCTGATAATAATAATATTATTATTAATTAATAATATTATTATAAAGTGATGATTTCTAAATATAAACACTGTAAGACGAAGAAAGAATTGATCGAATTTGTAATTGAATATTACAATCACCATAACAAGACCAGTGAATGATATCTATGTACAAATTTTAATAATGAGTCATAAAAGATTATTTTGAAAAATGCATTTTTTATTAGATATTTTTGCAACATTTGCTGCAAACATATGCAATAAAATCATGTAAAGTTGTTTTATTTTTCTTAGATGTTCAAATATAATCTCAAAAGTATATTTAGATTGAGTGTATTAGTTCAAATATTAGAACATATAGTTATTTTCTTTTTTTTCCTTTTTTTTTCTTGGAAATACACCTTTTAGAAGTGTATGTTATATTTTGAAATTTTAGTTATGTTAAGTAGTGCACTTTAACCATATTTGCCTTTTTGTAATTTATTATTGATGTACAGTTTATTTTATAATATATGTTGTTCTTTTACTATTAAATAGTTTCAAATATTTTTTGTTATTTTTGAACATACTTTTCTTCATTCAAGGGCATTGTTGCTTTTTTTAAAATATTTAAGTAATATATTGGGTTGTCCGGAAAGTAACTTCGTTTTTTTATAGACATTTTGGCACGTAATTTTCGTACCATAAACAATTTATTTAATAAATTATGTATTGGCAGTTTTGGTCGAACATCTTTTGTCATATTTCTGGTATTAGCATAATTCTTAAATCATAAATCTTTTGGTCGTTATTGGCAAAATGCTGATCAAAGTGCTTTTTGATAGGCTGATTTGAGGTAAAGGATTTACCGCCTAAAAATTTTTTTAGTGACCGGAACAAATAATGGTCCGATGATGGTATGTCTGGAGAATCTGATGAATGTGTCATTGAGTCCCATTCAAGCTACAAAAGCTTCTGGCGATTGACCAAACTTATGTGAAGTCTTGGTTCCTATCTTATACCATGCTTGTGGGTTAATTCCGACCTTGTCTATTGAAGTATATCATTTAGTTTATCCACCTGATGATATAAGGAATCCGAATTAACCGTCATGTTATCTCTGGAAAAGCTGAAAAATTAACAACTCCTTTAAAACCTCACCAAACATACTGCATCACCTTTTTCTGGCAAATTTCAGCTTTGCACCTGTTTTGAGCAGGTTCTTCTTTTTTGTTGCATGGGCAATTGTGTGTATTGTATTCTTTACATCCCATTTGACATTCCTAGTGACAATTCGCTTCAAAACCTGATAATTTTCAAGACATTTCAGAGGCGAATCGCGGACGCCAGTGCGACGACACAGATTTCTTTCTATGAGAACCATACATTGAGTTTCGAGGAAAATCTCGGACATTTTGAGTGGCCAATAACTGTTAAATTTGATAAATTTTTACTCAATGGGATCTCATATGTTGTTATTTGTCGGCTTGCATCAACTAATGCTTTTCTCGCGTCTTTATCAGCTTCAACCATACTTATTGGACATCAAAATACCAAGAATGAAATTTAGCAAACCAATTTTGGCACTGTCGTACTATCAACACGTCATTTCCGAACACATCGGTCAATTTCATTTTGGCCTAAACAGTTTTTTTTACCTTTTCTATAGCAAAAAAGTAAAATATGTCGAAAATGCTGCTTAATTCTTTTCGTATTCAAAGTGGCACCATCCAAAAAATTACTGCATGTAATTGATTAGAATTTGTTACACACAAGCCTTAAAATATAAGTTTTTAAATCATATATTAATTATTATAGGGCTTAAGTGTGATGTTAGGTTAAAGAAAATATTGTTCAATTCTGGTTCAATACTTAACGAAGTTTCTTTCCGAACAACCTTGTATTTTTAAATTACTTCTTAATAACTTTTTATGCAAATTGATTTGTGACCGCAATCATTTTCTGAACAGAAGAAAGCTTTCAATATATAGATTGCTAATGTCTTCACAATAATTAAAATGCTTGAAATGTATATATCTATATATATATAATATATATATATATATATATATATATATTTGTATATACTGTCAATGATTAATTTGCAAATTACCTTAAGCTTCACCGAATATCGTTATGAGATCATTGATCATTTAAGCTTATTACTACAATTGTTTTTATAAGATTTACAAAATTGTAGAAATATCGTGCGCATGCATGTTTCTGTAATTTCGCAGATTCGGCGGAACTAAGGTTTCGTTGCCAAGTTTGTTGGAAAGGATTCCGGCATCCGATGTCCTTAACACTTCACAAGGACCTTCATAGTGGCAAGACGCAATGCCCGGTGTGTGGCAAATCATTTTCCCGCATCTACGACATGCGAATTCACCTTAATCGAATCCATAAGGTCACTTTTAGATTAGACGCCAAACTTCGAATTAAGGACCGAAATTCTAAGGGCAAAATTCCATCGCCTACTGATGATATGATCGCTGAATATCTGGACGAATCGTCCAATGATTAGGTCATTCGTGCAAAACCTATTATAAAATAAAGCTTGTATTATATATGTTAACTACAAATAAGATAACAGTTGCATTTCTGCAAAGCAACCAGAAATAGGTTCAAAGCCATTTAAAATTGATCCAAGCCATTTTCCTATGGGTTCATTGCTAGAATTTATGTTGTGAAATATGATCCATGTTTCCCATTTTATTGAAATTTAATTTAATAATGCTTTTGAGCAATACTCGAGTAAACTTATGCGTATATGTGTATTATCATATACTACATAAAAAACTGTGATTTTTTAACGAATTGGTTGTTCAAAATTATAATATTATGTAGTATAAATTTTAATATACACTATGGTAGACAGTAGTTTATTAAAGATAATTTCTAATATAATTTTACAATATTAATTTCTAGAAACTTCTTTATTAAGAATTTTTGAAGAATATAATGGATCATCGTTATGAAATTCAATGAAATGGAATATCTATTTTACTAAGTCAAAAGTAACAATATTTTATCAGATTTATTAACCTTAGCGAAAGGGAACTTTATGATATTATTTTTTTTTTGAATGATTTGATATTGTTTATTTTTGTTGTGCCACGTGCTATACTAATATATTAGCATAAAGACAGTTTAAAATTATGATAGAATTGTTAGTTTAATCTTTATTGAAAATCACACATCGTCACTATGAATAATGATTTCTTAAATAAGATTTTTCCTTGAATTATGTGATAAATATTTTGCTTATTTGACTTCTAAAATTATATAATATTCAAACGTTCTTTGATAATGTCCTATTTTTGTTATTGAACACATCAAAATATCTCATGTTTCATCATACTTTGGGTTGTAAATATTATTTGTGCCTTAAAAATTGTATTATTACCTTATTTACGTTATAGTAGTAATGTAAAATATTATTAGAATAAGAAAATCAAACTTTATTGCGGAAATAGGTTGAATTCATTTTGAAGAAAGATGTGATATTTTGTAATAATGTAAATATCAAAATGATATATTCTCAGATATAGATAAGAAAACAATAAGTTTTATTTTTATCTTTGATAATATTTCAGGGACTTAATTTTCTAAAGCAATGAAATTAAAAAAGTTTATTTTGTTCAAACTAAACATTTAATTGATTTTTTATAACATAAATTTACTATGAATTTAACCTATTTATTTTATTTAACTATGAATATGATACATTTTCTTCTTAGCCAAAGCATATTGTAAAATTAATTTTTTTTTCTGTAAATATGTTGTTATATAAAATTATTTGTTCAAAATAAATGACCTTAAATATAATATATTTTTCATATATTTTCTATGCATAATTGATTAATTATTGTTTGTTATAAAAATGAAATTTATATAATGTTAGATTGAACTTTTGTGATTATTTTTGGATCTAATAACGCGGTTATCTGTTGTGGTTTTTTGTATATTAATATATATGTATAAATATATATTTATAAATATATATTTATATATATGTATATATGTATATATATATATATATATATATATATATATATATATATATCATGATCCTACATACCCATGTTTACATACAAATATATACATGTGTATATATATACATGTTACCTATATATATATATATATATATATATATTTGTGTGTATTATAAAATTTTAATATTTCTATTTTCCCGAAAATCCGATTTTCCGCGAAATGTGCATCAGGCACTGGTAAAATGAGACTATCTATTTACCGTCTATGATAACAAGCACCCCACATGTCGCGTGCGTGCAGTAAACTCTTTTATGTTAATCCTTTTATTTATATATGGGGGAGTGCATGAATTTAGTTTAAATCATTGTTAGTATAATAGCAAATAGCAAATGCGCGGAAAATCGGATATATTAAAAATAAATCGTATTGTCCTTTACCAAAAGAGTTTACTGTGCTATACAATATTCTTACGCATGCCGTGTGTCGGTGTTTTGTTGTTATAGACTGGACGGGTACAGCCGGTACGGAAACTTCATTGCATTACCTCAGCGAGATGTGTCAGACGACTTCAGAAGATGCCGTTGAAGAGGACGACACCAGAGAACAAGAGCTCATGGACGCCATAGCATCTGCAGATCCTCATCATCAAATCATCATTAAAAGTGTCCATGACACCAGCGGCTTGTCACCAATCCCTTCCCCAATAGCCGCTCAAGAGATCGAAGTTGTGACTACGAAATTGGAATATTATAAGTCTGATGCAAGTGGAGTTTATAAACTCGAGCCTGGGTCTGCAGTCAGTACACAGACCGGTACAGCGTGGCAGACCACCAGGGGCCCTAAGGCTTCACTGGATAAATCGAGATATCAGTGTGATATTTGTGATCAGTCTTTTGCACATAAAGGCTCTTTGGATCATCATAAATCTTTTCACACAGGAAATACGACATGCCCCATATGTTTAAGGGTGTTTAGCAGAAAGTATACTATGAAGAAGCACATGGAATACATGCATAATCAAGCGAATAATACATTTTAGACTTTAAATAGTGTAAAATAGTGAAATGGTATAAAATATGTAGTTGAGTTGCAACTAGGACATTGAGTCGTATTGATTAATGATTGAGGCGGTGAAATATTTCATATTTTACTACTTCACCTGTGAGTATAATGTTACTCAAAACAAGTTGTGATGCTAGATGTTGAAGCATTATAAAACGATCAAAAATGTTCTTTGTACTATTTTGCACATTTCAAAGTTTTGGGACTATTTAAAAAATTGTTTTCTAAAGTCTGTATGTGTACAGAGGATAAATTTGATGAAAATTATTTAATGCGTTAAAATCGACTTAAGACTTGCCATTATTGATTGTGCTCGATTTTTATTTCAAAATTATTGTCTGTATCTGCTGAAAAGCAAGTAGTTGTTGGATAAAAATTTTACTATTTTTCATTTATTTCAATTCTTTTTTTTCTCAGTAATTTTTTGCATGTCTGCTAGATACATTTGAAGTAGTTAACATTGTAACTATTATTTAATTTATGATTGAAACAGAATTACCAGGCCTAAATAATATGATCTTTCACCGAGAGTGAAAAGTTATGTGAGTAGCATTGAACGACCAAATATAAATTGGTATTGACATTATGTTTGTTGCACCCTGGTGGTTTACATTTGCTACGAATAATACTTTTTCAAATTTATTTATAAATGCTTTGCTTTTATTATTACTATGCTGAAAGATTAAATTAGTATTTGTTACTTGATTTAAATACTAATAGTATATTTATTTATGTTGTGAAAAATAGTCCAGATTTCAATAAATTAATAGTACAGAGGACATTTTGTATAAATATTTGAAGAACGAAATTAGAAATGAATTGACTCTATGATTGAAATAATTTCATATTATATGAAATGAATAATTCAGATATAATAAATTATGAATTTGTAAGATAAAAGCATATTTATATTTTATACTTAAGTTTTACTCTTACCTAATATTACTATTTATCAGTATCAAAAATTATATTCACAAATTGTATTACATTTGTCCAGTTTTTTTCGACAACATATTTTTATAAATCAAAATTTTAATATAATAGATTTTTTGTTTTATTAAGTTTATATATATATATATATATATATATATATAAACACAAAACATATGAACACAAAATAATTATTAAATAGAGATAATTTATTTATATATGAAATTATTAATATGAAATGGGACTGCATAGGTTCTAAAATGTATATTTATGGATGCAATGTACTTTATTGAGAATAAAATAATTTTTAGACATATTAACTTAAGTTTATATATAAGACAGATTAATTATACATTGAGTACATGAAAAATTTATTGAATTTTGGATTTGAAATTTTTATTGGAATGTTTTGTCAAATATGCAAAGTTTCAAATAGAAGTTCATATATTGTATAAAATATGATAGTTGCTTATAGTTTTCAAGTATGTCATATATATTTTGTAAACGTTTATAAAATTCTCACCCAGTAGAGTGAAATGATAAATGCATTTCAATTTTTCCAAACATTAATAAATTATAATTGGCATAACTTATATTTTTATTTTTGTGTGTTGTGATAAAATTACCTGAAAAATTGTTTGGCTCTTGATTACCTTATCTAAATTTTTAGTTATTTTTTTTTACTGGTTTCTCACAAGTAATTTGCACCATAATAAAGCTGTGCTTATTTATAATTAGTATATAAAAATACACAGTATAAACACTTATAAAATGATATAAATATTACCATCTTCCACAACATTATTTTTGCACAAATTATTTTTATGATAACATTCATATTAAATATATCATCTGGTCTTTTATTTTTTACAATTGCAAATATTATAAAACGCTCTCAGCAATGTATTTCGAATATCACATTTGAATATAGACTATCGAATGTTATTATTTGCCAATTCTTTTTAGTCATTTGTATTTTTATTTTTTAGGATTATCATTTTGTAAATAATAAATAATAGTTAAGACAAGATACTAATTGAAGTGGAGTTGGAAAAGTTTTGAATACAAATATGGTAGATTAGAATTGGAATATACTTTGGTTTTTCTGATTTTCACCAATTTATCCATCTCTGCTTCAGTAGTCTAATTTATTAATCTTTTCATGCAGTAGCAGAAAGCACTTTTTTCTGCTCTATGAGAAGAATATTAGATGTAATTAAAGAAAAATAGTTAAGATTGTTAATAAAATTTAAATATATTTTGTTTAAATATAAGTAAATAATGATAAGAAGAATCGGTTCAAATTCTAAAATGTTTTACAAAAATTTACTATATAATTTAAAATATGTTAAGCTCTTTAAGTATTTTCGATTTGAGTTGCAATTTGCTTGTATATAAGATTAGGATTATAAAACCATCTGCACTTTGCAAATCTAACTTTATCGATTTACTTATTTGCTTGATTATTTACAAATTTATATTATTTTCAACTGTGTACAGGTTGTATATTTATCGAATGAAATAAAATAATTATGAAATAAACTGTTTTGTAATTACGGAAAAAGTAGACGGTATAAAATTAAAATAAAAAAAATTATATACAGCCAATCCTTTAAAATTAAATATTACATAATACTATGAAAATTGATAGATAATTTTTGAGTAAGAAGAAGCTTAAATGCAAATAAACAATCGTAATACTTCAATAAAAATTTATTTCTGCTTTTAAAAGTTTTTATAAGACAAACACTCGAAATTTTG